TTCTCAAGCTGGCATGGACAACACCCCAAAAGTCATTCCTGATCAGCCGGGCTGTGGCTCGTACGTTGGTTTGCGTGCAGCCAGCAGCAACAGCCTGGTTGATCAGTCTCTGGTCCACCAGGAGGCCTGGTCACAGACCGGGCTGCGGGGGCGTTGACCCCCGAAACTCTCTCCAGGTAAACTCCAGGTAATACAGGTACACTTACACAGATACACCTACACATAAGAACATAAGAAAGGAGGAACACTGCAGCAGGCCTGTTGGCCCATACTAGGCAGGTCCTTTGCAATTCATCCCACTAACAAAACATTTGCCCAACCCGATTTTCAATACCACCCACGAAATAAGCTCTGATGTGCAAGTCCTCACTGAGCTAAGTACAGGTCACCTCTGTACACAGGTACACTTACACAGGTACACTTACACGGGTACACTTACAAAGGTACAGTTATACAGGTATACTTACACAGGTACAGTTATACAGGTACACTTACACAGGTACACTTAGACAGGCACACTTACAAAGGTACAGCTATACAGGTACACTTACAAAGGTACAGTTATACAGGTACACTTACACAGGTGCACTAACACAGGTACACTTACACAGGTACACTTACACAGGTACACTTACACAGGTACACTTACAAAGGTTCAGTTATACAGGTACACTTACACAGGTACACTTACAAAGGTACACTTACACAGGTACACTTACGCAGGTACACTTACACAGGTACACTTACACAGGTACACTTACACAGGTACACTTACAAAGGTACAGTTATACAGGTACACTTACAAAGGTACACTTACACAGGTACACTTACACAGGTACACTTACAAAGGTACACTTACACAGGTACACTTACACAGGTACACTTACACAGGTACACTTACAAAGGTACAGTTATACAGGTACACTTACACAGGTACACTAACACAGGTACACTTACACAGGTACACTTACGCAGGTACACTTACAAAGGTAGAGTTATACAGGTACATTTACACAGGTACACTTACGCAGGTACACTTACACAGGTACACTTACACAGGTACACTTACAAAGGTACAGTTATACAGGTACACTTACACAGGTACACTTACACAGGTACACTTACACAGGTACACTTACACAGGTACACTTACACAGGTACAGTTACACAGGTACACTTACACAGGTACACTTACAAAGGTACACTTACACAGGTACACTTACACAGGTACAGTTACACAGGTACACTTACACAGGTACACTTACAAAGGTACACTTACACAGGTACACTTACACAGGTACACTTACACAGGTACACTTACACAGGTACACTTACACAGGTACACTTACAAAGGTACAGTTATACAGGTACACTTACACAGGTACACTTACACAGGTACACTTACACAGGTACACTTACACAGGTACACTTACAAAGGTACAGTTATACAGGTACACTTACACAGGTACACTTACACAGGTACACTTACACAGGTACACTCATGCTGCTTGAAACAACTACAATCCTGCAGGTACATAAATTTACAAGTGCTCAGTGCTATTTTTCCAGCTCTCGCTCCTGACCTGTACTGACATGTGTGTGTGTGCGAGCGAGAGAGAGAGAGAGAGAGAGAGAGAGAGAGAGAGCTAAGGCCCGACCCCCTGTAACGACAGATAGGTGATTAGGTGATCACACACACACACACACACACACACACACCTAGTAGTGAAAAGTGAAGCGGCGGTGCAAGGCGCTATGACTAGACCCTGCAACCACAGTTAAGTGAGCACAATTAGGTGAAAACACACACACAACACACACACCACACACACACACACACACACACACACACACACACACACACACACACACAGGGAGAGTGACCTAGTAGCGATCAGAAGAGGCGGGCCAGGAGCTCGGACTCGACCCCCGCAACCTCAACTAGGTGAGTACACACACACACACCCACACACACAAACACACACACACATACATACACACACACACACACACACACACACACAACACACACACACACACACACACACACACACACACACACACACAACACACACAACACAC